TTATGTTTCAGGGTTTTGAGAATTAAGTTGATAGAAATAAAACCCTTAGAATGGTGTTTGGAACATAAGAGCTCAGTAAATGTTAGCTAATATTTCTGTTATCATCATTAGCTTCACCCTCCTGTGTAAACTCCAGAAACCAGACTGGGAGACAGTCTGGAGGTTTCTTTTTCTTTTCTTCCTCTAAGCTTGCTGACAGTTCATTCTCCCTACAATGGAATGATAAAATGTCTAATGTGTAGATAATAAGAGAATTAGAGGAGCTTATGTTCTCTACAAAAAATTCTAAACAATGAAGTATTTTTCCTTAGAGGTGTTCTTACTAGTCTCTTATACCTTCAGATTCACTTACCTTTGTCTATCATCATTCCAAACATTAGCTGAAAATAGGTCAGAGTAGAAATTAGCCTGTTTATTTAGTATAATAATAAAGGGTATATGAAGAGGTACTAAATTAGTTTGAAAATTATTAGCTGTCAGTGTTTGTGTATAAAAGCAGATTATTAGGAAATTAGTGGCATTGGAAAAGAAAAAGGGTTTTTGCAAAAGGAATCCTTTGGGAGCCTAGGCAGGTCTTCCAAGTAGGAGACGAGTTGAGAAGTCAGTAATTCAGGCATCCAGTATGGTTAAGAGTTGCTTCCTGCCCAGTACCATGTGTTCCTGGGGGCTGGGCATTTTTAACAGTTCATAGTTTCTAGTTCCAACTCAGAGGGTTCAGCTTAGTGTGTCAGTAGATGAAGGTTTCACTGGTTTTCTTATGGGAGGGATTAAGCTAAGTCATACCCTTCTGGTTTGCCAGGGCCCAATAAAGTGACAAATATATATTAAACCACAAAGAAGATCAGTTGCTTTAGGAGCGGGCAGCAGTGTAATGATTGCAACTCAGAATGTATCTGAGTACTTGTGTGTACCAGGTGCACCAAAATTGGAGCTAAGAAAATAAGGGGTAACCAGGTACAGGGGAAGACCGACACCTACTGCTAGGAGGGTTTTAACTTTGCATCACATGAAATTAGAGTACCTGCCTTATCAGAGCTACTCTACTTGAGGTCCAGAGTCCTGAGGCCGATTCGGTTCCTTAAAGCATTTGGCAGCTTTGTGCATGACTGTCTCACTTTTTAGGACACTAGAGAGCAATAGAAGGCAGTGTAGTCTAAAGGTGAGAATGTGGAGTTGGATCCAAGATGAGAACAACGTGGGTGAATCATGGCATTCCAAATACCTTTCTTCATGCTGTGCACACTCTGCAGTTGCTATGATACTTTATCAACTCTTCTCCCTCAGATTTTAACCATTTGGTGCTCTGCTTTTTGCCTTTGGAAACAAGGCTTCTCCGTTCAGAATCATCTCTCCTAAATGGAGACACTGATGAGTGTACTCTATCTGGTGAATACTCTGAGCTTACTGAAGCCCAGAATTCAATGAAGCAAATATACTGAAAAGCAGAAGTATTCATGAAAGCTCACTTTGCAATGTTGGGGCCAGATTGGGAAGCTTGGGAGGAAAGTTCACTTTTGTCAAAAGGAAATTATGAAATAGGGAAGAAATAATTGTGTCAAAGCCGTAGTGACCCATCCAAGCTTCTTGAGGCTCCTGAAAGGAAGAAGGCTCTCCATGGTGCACTTAGCTACATTCTCTGCCTGTCCTCTGTTGTTTGATGCTAGCCTGTGAGCAGGACTTGCACCTAGACTTTGTAGACTCTCTGACTTAGGGGTGATGCATGTGATTACATGAGAGAAAGGGAGGGATGTTGACGCGTTTCTTCTCTCTCTCTCCTCTTTCCATGCAGCACACATACCACAGATGAGAAGCAAATTGGGTCACTTTCCATGTAAGCACTGTTTCCTTTCCAAGCCTTTGAGTTGTGGGAAGAGCTGTGATTTTTGAGGACAATAGGACAATTAATCCAGACTGTTGTACATCAGGTCTTCCCTGTCCAAGCCCAGGTCTGTCTTGAGGGCTGACTCCTGCTGTCCTTCCTCCCTTTCCCGAGTCTTCCTGTTGCATTTCCTCCCAGCCTCCTCCTGTCTTGCGGAGCTCACTGTGCTGAGCTCTTTTTATAGCACTCACCACAATCTGCTCCTGCATCAGATTAAATGGTGTCTATTTCTCCCTTATTTAGGACTTCTGGAGCAAGAGCCTTGCCTTTTTTCCCCCCTTGAATGTTGTTCTCCAGTGCCTATCAGTAGGTTTGGGGCTACCTTTTGGGGGTCTAGTCCACATTTATTAAGTGTTGTGTTAATTGCAAAGGATTATTTATAAATGTGAATTTATCACAATCCCTGAATCATAAGACTGTGCTTATGTAGTTAGTCTGCAGTAGCCAGTTGTTCTTTATCATCTGTTAGGCTACCACATAGGTTCTTAGTAAATGATTCTTGAAATATCTATTAAGATATTTAGTAATTATGTGCATTTCTAAAATCGCATTTAAAATAATGTAGTGAGAGCATAAGAAAAGACTACCAAAAAGGAAAATCTAGGATAAAAAGAAAGATTGACCCATTAAAGACATTCTTGTTGCCTTTAAATATATATTAAATTGCATAAAAGTGTAGAAATTTTTTTTTAACCAGGAACAAGTTTATTCCTTTCATAATCAATGAGAAGAGGATAGCTAAAATTTTAATATGCAATGTCATCTTATTTAGATTTATTTTACAAAATATTCTGGATTGATTGTTGATTTTTCCATTGAAAGTAGGACTTGAGGTATACTATTACTAAAAGTACAAATTTATTAAACTGGTGCTTTAATTATAATTTATTATTAATAATTTTCAAAAATGTTTTCTCAAGCAATAATAAATTACTGAATGGGCCTCTTTTAAAACTTAAATCAAAATTTATCTTTTTTTAATTTTAATTCTTGTGCAGTTTGGATGTTATCTACATACTTAAGATAAAGATGGTTATTATTTTTTAATATTTGGAGCTCAAACTGTTCTCATATAGACACTAGTGTGTTTGTTCACTAAGTAAATATTTGAGAGCATTCTGTATGGAAAAGGAAAGAGAGATTCCCACCTGCCTGAGGCAACCTCAGGTTAGTTGTATGGCTGAAGTTTTTGTGTTGTTAAGTGTAGCATGGTACCTGACTAATGGTCAGGAAAGGCCTAACATGTAAAGCAGCATAATCTGCCCATAAGCTCTGTCAGTGCAGATGGAGTGCAAGCCAGGGGAACTCAAGTACAGCATCTCAATGGTGTGACAATCCCCCCAGAGGGAGAGTGCCCAAGGGGAGGGAGGAGCAACCTAGCAAGAGCTGGAACTCAGGAAAGACTTCAGATGATGGGCTCAAGGTCAGCTATGAGTGGCAGTTTCTCAGATATGTGCTGGAGGGAATGGCATTCTGGTCCAGCAAGTGGCAGGCTACTTAGATGTGAAAAAGCCTTGGTTTTTTTTTTCTTTTTCCTATAATACAAAATGTGAAGGGCTTTGTGGCATTAGACAAGGATGAAAAAGGTCACCAAAGCCTGGGATGCTGTGCACAGGACAGGACGTGCCCTTTCTTATTTTAGTGCTGGAGTGGAGCCTGGTGGTCTTGGAGTTCATCGCCTTCACTCCCACTGTTTCCTCTCCTGTATTCTCTCACTCAGTCCTACTTGGACAAGCGAGAAATCTAGGTATTTTCCTTATCTGTTTTTTTTCTAGTCATGTCCCAGATTTGACCCATCACTATCATCAGGCTACTTCTACATCTCTCTCTAATCCCTGCACATCTCTTGGTCATCAGTGCCCTGGTTCTGGTTTGCACACTGTTGTTATCAGTCTCCTGTGTGGTCCTCCAGCCCTGCATCCTTTCCTCTCCAGCCTGTTCTCATGCTCCAGCCAGAGAAAATTCTAAATGCAAATCTCAAACATACTGTTTCCTGCTTGATTGTGGCCTGCCTTTGGCCTGCCTAGCTCCTTGGCCTGACTTTCAGGTCCCTTCTGCTAAGTCTTCAGCTAGGGTTCTCACATGGTATGGTAGAGATTGCTTCTGCCATGCTGAGCTCTGTTCTTCACCTGAACCCCACTCTGGCAGCTCTCACCCCATCATCTCAAGATCTGCTGGAATACCGTACCTTCCCTCTGCTTCACCGTCAGCCCTGTTCTTGGGATTAGTACTTCTAGAAAGTGTTTCCTGGTTTCCAAATCTAAATCTAGAGCCCTTGTTATGTGGACCTATCCTACCCAGTATTTACCCAGTTGTGACATTTACTAAATAGCATTGTAATCACTTGCTCAGTTATCCCTTTCCTATTGTAGGCTGAGAGTTCTGTGATGACAGAAACCAAATGTAGCTTCTCTGCCATTTTATTCCTGGCCTCTAGCACAGTGCCTGACATGCCACAGGTCTTTATTGACGATTTGATCAATGTAAAGTACTTATTCCAATGTCCAGCACATTGTAGATAATAAATAATGGTAGTTTTATTGCTTATTATCATGTACAACAGCTGCAACTATTATTCTCTATGTAGGCAATAATATCAAATATACAAATAGCTCATGAGAAAGACCTGGATGTGACAATGGATGTGAAAAATTAGAAAGTTATAGTTCTTTATTCGTAAACTCTCTAAGAATTGGTGAGAGCAGAAGGCAGTTTATCATGATTTGAAGAGTAGCTACAAGGAGAAGAAGTGGAGACCAAGCAATTTGTAAAATGTTTTCTGGACATGAGAGTCTGCCCACGGGGTAGTAGTTAGAGAGGCAGTGGGATCAGAGGAATACGTTTTTAGATGAAGAGAAAATGCTGTGCATCTTCCTGGGCAAAGGAGAAAGCCCAACAGAGAAACAGGTGTGGAGTTGGATCTGACCTCCAGGTAGAAGGACTAGTTTCACCCCAGGCACCTTTCATGATAGAGGAATGATGAGCAGAGAGGTAGGAATGTGTGCATGGTTCTGGAGAAAGGAGAAAAGTGACATTGATAAAAAGCAGATTGAATTTTGTTGTTTAAAAGGTATTTTTTTAAGCAAATCCATTACATTCTTTCATCTTTTTTTTCTTTCAGCTGCTCGGGGGTCTCGTCTGGATTTTGGTGGCCTCCTCCAATGTTCCTCTACCTCTGCTACAAGGATGGGTCATGTTTGTGTCCGTGACAGCTTTTTTCTTTTCTCTTCTCTTCCTGGGTGTGTTCCTCTCTGGCATGGTCACTCAAATTGATGCCAACTGGAACTTCCTGGTAAGGAGTTTCTATTTTAAATCTATTGCAAGAAAATGTAAGAGACTGATCAATATCTCATTCTGTTTGGAAATGCCTTGAGTCTATCTTCTGTTTGTTACCATCTTTAGGAGAGAATGGGTTCAGGCCATGGGTGCTGCTAAGGTGCCTGATGCTTGCCTTGATGGACAGCAGAGTCCCAGTTTGTGAAATTCCCATTTAGTGGAGCTGAGAAATCATTCCATTTCTCCTTTATGGCTCATAAATGAAACAGGGTTTCATTTCATGCAACAAATGAGTTTCATTATAATTATTGAACAATTGAACAGATGCATTTGAGAACCATACGTTTTCACATGTTTCTTGAAATTTTCCATTGATTTCTGTTTCATATATTTCAATATATACAGTGGTCCCTCAGTATTCTAGGGGGATTGGTTGCAGGCCCACCATCAGGATACTAAAATCTATGGATGTTCAAGTTCTTTATATAAAATGGCACAATATTTGCATATAGCCTATGCATATTTTCCTGCATATTTTGCCATCTGTAGATAACTTATAGTACAAGAATTATTAAGGTATAAAAAAAAGTTTACAATCACAGTTTTTAAAATCATGACACCATTAAGTTGTACCAAATTACTTTGTTCTCCTGTGTCAGAGATGTTTTCAGGATTGTGTCACTCATTCTCTGGGACTTATTTTTAGGAAGACCCAGTGCAGCCTGATTTCAATCCATGGTGCCAGAGCTATCATGAAATTCATGTAGAGCCCCAGGAAATTTCGATCACACTTTTTTAAGTTTTAAAACTTACAATCAGACCTTCAATCAGGGTTTATATATGTTCCTTCCAAGTATAATAACGTTTTGCTCAGCAGCTCTAGGACAGATATTATAGGAAAATATCCCATGTTTAATTTATAGAGCATGAGGAGAGCTGTATGTACTCTGCTTGTTTCAGCAGCTCCTTTATGACTCATAAATGAAACAGGGTTTCATTTCATGCAACAAATGAATTTTATTACAATTATTAAACAATTAAACAGATACATTTGAGAACCAAATGTTTTCACATGCATTTTTCACATGCATTCACATGGTGAATGTGACTGCCTATTCATCCCAGGGGCAAGAAGGGCAAGTGGCCCAGCTTAGTGGGTGCAAGGATTGCAGTCCTTCACAGCCTTTGAGCTTGGGTCTGGTTTACTTAATAGCTGTGTAACCATGGGCAAAATAGTTAACATCTCTAAATTTTAATTTCTTTTTCTAAAGTGGTCATAATAATACCTGTCTGACCAGAGGCTTTTAAAGAATAATGGAAGTAATGAATTACATAGTGTTTCCTTCTGTCTGGGTTACAGCAAGCAGTCAATAATTCTAATTCCTTAAACACACTGAGGCTTACAGTTTGGAATTTTGAAAGTCCTTCCATTTCCATTAAATTGCTAATGTAATCTATTTCTACATTTTTGCCCTAATTTCTCATTATTAATGAGAAAATATTTCTGTTAGTCATGAGATAAAGATCTAAAGTCCCAATCAGATTGCAGATAGAAGCTTATTCTTCTCTTTGTAAACACCTGGTTTTTCCATAATAAGTATAAGAATGAATCAATCTCCAATTTTGGTAAGGGCCACCGGGTTCTTTAAGTATCACACTCATAGATATTAGGCCAGTTTCTTCTTCTATAGTGCTGTTGGTACTATTAATAGTCACTCTCCCAACCCATTTGCCTCTGCCCAAATGCTCCACCCACCACTCTGACACTTCCCTGGACCTTTCTGGATTCCCTAATTGCCCAGTGTCTATAGGAACCTGCAGTGGCCAGCATTCTTCCTAATTGTCTTTCTAATTGGTTGATGAACATAACTTAATAATGGTTAAATATCTTGAAAGTATCATTCCTGGCCTTATTAGATATATATCTCTTTAGTCATTTTCCTTTTGCTTGTATGAAGTCTTATCTTTGGCATTGAGTACAATCATGCATTTGGTAACTTTTTATTTTTCCTAAACTTGTATTTTCTGCCCATTTGTATGTAGCATTATATCTGATGTTCAGAAAATAAGATGTAAGAGTTTTTGTTATATTAAGAAAACCACTATATGAAAGTGACAATTGAAATTGGAAAGATCTATCAGTTTGTGCCATAGGACGCCTGCCAAGTTTATCCTGTTTTTTTTAGTTGGAATAGTCCACTCTTACTGAAGCAGAAAATTGAACAGGTTGAGGATCTTTTATCCAAAAGGCTTGGGACCAAAAATATTTCAGATTTTGGGGTCCTTTGAATTTTGGAGTATTTGTATATTGAAATGTTTACTGCTCAAAATGTTTCAGATTTTGGAGTATTTCAGATGTCAGATTTTCAAGTTAGGGATGTTCGACTTACAATAGCAACACACACCACATAGTATAGTAGATGTCGTGGTTTAGGGCTTGTCACATGGTAGACATGCTTTTCAAGGAGCTAACTCCTGCCCCCTGAGAGTTTATTAAATGCTTTCATTTTTGGAAACAGGGTTCCTTTTGATAGGTGTGGTGGACCATATCTATAATCTTAGATACCCAGGAGACTGAGGAGGATGGCAAGTTCCAGGCCAGCCTCAGCAATTTAGTGAGACCCTGACTCAAAATAAAATTAAAAAGGGATGTAGATGTGGCTCCATACAGAGCAGTTGCCTCACAAGTTGAGGTCACTCCTTGTTTGTTTTCCTCTTAGGCATTTTTCTTCTTTCTCATTCATTTTTTATCACATTGCTGGCTTTTGGAAGGTTTCTTATTACATCTTGTACACACTCAGCCAGGAAAATTTTTGAGCCATACTTATCATGCAGTCAGCACCAGATGGTAACAATTTTTAATTGCTACATTCTGGAAATGTTAAAGATTAATTGCTCAAAATATAATTATTTTCTCTTGTGATAATATTTTAATTCTAACTGTATAACTTGCATTTTAATAAATAATTTACTTCCTATCAGTGTTTGTTATATGACACTGTCTACCATATTCCTTCTTATTGATCATACAATTAAATTTGTATTCATAGTACTAGATATGTTCAGTATTTTTCTCAAGCTTTCTAACCTTAGCATAATTGTTGACATGAAAGTACAATATGTAATAACATATATTAAAGTCTAAAAACTTGCCCTATTCTAATCCAGGGAAGAGAAGATTTTGTTTTGAAACAGTTTGTTGGGTTCTTGTTTTTATTTTTGTTTGGTGGAGAGGTGTTAATACCATTGTGAGCCTTACTTTAAAGAAGAAACTCCATATTTATATCCCCCTTTTCTTAGGGAGGTGATGTTCTTATTTTAGAAAATTTAAAGGAATTGTTTAAAAATCCTGCATAGTTAAACATGCTTCCCAATATTCCTTCTAAGTATAACTGGTACACATTTGATCAATTTCCAATATATTATAAACATTGTGATTTAACAACTTAAATGTCCTGAGCCAGTTTTCTGCCCCACATCCATTTACTTATTTGACTTTTAGGATAGCTCTTTATAGATAGCAAGTATCACTGTCTTCATTTGTGCAGGTGAGAAACTTAAGTTCGCAGTGGCTGCTGTTCCTTTTCATGCTGCTCTTCTGTAACCAGGATTCCCCAATATATGATGCTGCTGTTTTTATTTTATCAACTAGTTAGTGAGGGTTTGACCCTGGACAGAAGCACCAAGCATGGGCTGAAGATAGGAATGTTGGAGAGAGCCACTTGTTGCTGAAAGGATCCAAGCTGTGTTTAAAGCTCAGGTTGTCTAAGACAAACGTGATGATAAGAGGGCTGTGTTTAGGGTGTGTGAGCACTGAGAAGATTGGCAGAGAGGAGGCCATGAGAAGGAAACTCAGAGAGGGACTAGGGTCATCTACTAATGAGGGCACACAAACAGTAGGCCCTCACCAGAGCATCAGCAGCGGCTGGAAACTTGCTTGAAATCACATCCTCAGGTTCTACCCAGACCTGCCAAGTCAGAAACTCTAGGGGTAGAGCCCACTCAGTTGTGTTTCAACAAGCTCTACAGATGATTCTGATGCTTACTGATATTTGAGAACCTCAGGCTTACCATCCATGACCTGGGTGGTCCAAAACAATGTGTGAACCTTGCAGAAGACCTTCTTGCACATGTCCCACACGTGAAAGGGATTGGAATTAGATGACCCAGGATGGCCTGGAGTATTTTCTGATACCCAGCCTAGAAATACGGTGGTGTAGCAGGCCTGTGGGTGGTTCTAGAAAAGTTTGCTGTATCAGACAATGGCAGTAAAGGAATGACTTACATAATTCATACATTAGTTAAAATTATGTAAGGGCCAAGAAGGAAAAGCATATGTGTCATCTCAGGCCCACTGGAGAGCAGACTCCGATGGATTTAGAAGTGCAGGAGAAACTTTTTGTTCCTTTGTGCATTTTTGTTTTTGAGGGGGAAAGGAAGAGAGGAAGGAACAGAGGGAAGGAGGGAGGGAAAGGGAGAAGGGGAAGAGGAGGAAAGGAAAGAAGGAAGGAGAGGAAGGAAGGGAGGGTAGAGTTTCAGTTTATGATATAGTCTTGGCCAAATAAGGGAGAAGCTGCAGAGCACAGCCCACCCTCTTAGATCTTGTGCTGGGCACCAATGACCAGGCACCAATGTCCCCCCTGTGCTGTGATTAGTTGGGAGCTGCCCAGGAAGAATGTGGCCTTGGCTCAAGCCCCCTGGCACATCTCAGGTCCACTGAAACTCAAGGTGTAGAGTGTTTCCTAGGAGCCAAATCAGGCCAAGGTGGCCAATGTTCAAAGAGGTAGGAGGTAGTGAAACAGGCACGGATTAGATCACAGGAAGTTGCCAGCTGCGTCACCACATTTTATCTTTCCCTTTTAAGATAAAAGAGACCATTTCTAAGGATCCAGAAATGAAGATCCTTACCCTGTTAAGTAAACGCCTACTGATCTCAAACATACTTTCTCAGTTTTTATTACTAATGAATATCTAGCTCACATTGAATCCCTAAAAGTAGTAACATTGAAATTTGAATTTTGACCTTCATCAATGAACATTTGTTTAATAACCACACAAATTTGAACCTCTCTCCTTTACAGTTGATATGTGGCCAGTATATAACATTTTCCTTATATCTTTCGAAGGTATTAGTGAGTCAATTAAGTGGGAGTTGTTTAATAGAAAATAGCTTTAACATGGTGTCTTTGTAATTCTCACCCCTGATTAGTTTGTCCAAGCCGATTCTTCTCAATGTGTAAGAACAATTCCAGTGAACAGTGTTATTTGCTTCATGGACATGTTTTAAAGAACCAGGGCAATAATCCATTTTATGAGACTGCTTTATCACTAATAGGAACAGTTTGATAGAAAACAAAATGAACTTTGAACCCTCATAATGTGGTTGGTAGAAATGTAGATTAGTACAGTATTAATAGAAAACAGTAAACGGGTTTCTGAAAGACTTAAAAATAGATCTCCCATATGATCCAGCATTCCCACTACTAGGTGTATATCCAAAGGAAGTGAAATCAGTTCCTTAAAGAGATATTTGCACTCCCACATTCATTGCAGCATTATTTACAAAGGCTAAGGAATGGTAAAGAAAATGTGGTGTACATACACAATGGAATACTATTCAGCTTTTAAAAAGAAGGAAGGAAATCCTGTAATTTGCAACAACATGGCTGAACATGGAGAACATGTTCAGTGAAAGAAGCCAAACACCAAAAGACAGATACCACACCATCTCACTAATATGTTGGATCTAAAAATGTTGAACTCAGAGGAAGAAAGTAAAATTGTGGGTAATCAGAGGCAGTAGGGGAGGAGAGGTTGGGAGATGTTGGCCATAGAATACAAAATTTTAATGAGGAGGGATAAGTTTAAGAGATCTATTGTAGAACATGGTGACTGTGGTTAATGACAATGTTTTCTTGAAAACTGCTGAATCAATTTTAAATGTTTTCACTAAAAAAAAAAAAAAGAGGATGGTATGTATGTGAGGTAATGCATATGTTAAGTGGCGATTCCACATAACGTATGCATGTTTTAAAACATGTTGCACAGAATAAACAATTTCAATTTTTCAACTAAATTACTATTTTAAAAATGAAAAGAAAAAATAACCTTTGTGGGATTGAACTTTACCCTCCAAAAGTTTTGTATGGTTTTGAGATAGTCATTTGGGGTGAAAAAAGAAAAAAGAAATTCTTTTGTAAAATGTATATAATAAATACTATTTAAAAGGACTAATAATGCATATGAAATATGTTATATACGAGTACTATTAAAAGTAAAGAGCAGTTATTGGTGGTATATATTAATTCGGGTAAGACAATGTAAATTTTAAGAGTTATACTACACATTAATTCTAGCAACAAAATGACCTAATATTTCTCTACTTTTTGTAGAGTATGAGATATATAGTTTTGAAAGGAATATATTAATATATATCATATAGTATATGAATTCTCTGAATTCAATGATTTAATAAGTCTGCTGTACCTTTCAGTACATGGGATAATGACCTAATGATAAAAATAATTGCTCAAAAATAAAGTAATTATGAAAATATAGAGCTATAATAAAAATAATGTAATTTACTGGTATTTTACTTGAACTTAAAGATAGCATGTTATTCCTTTTATGATAATTAATATTGATCCTTATATATCTTAATCCAAATTAAAACAATATATTTTATTTTAAAATTTCATATATCAGAATATTTGCCACTATATCAAATAAAATGGGTCCATCAATTTTCATTTGGAGTCTAATAGCCTGACATTGCTAAAAGCATCCGAAACAAACAGTAAACATAGTTAAGATTACTTGATTAGTTATTCTGATCTTTCTGAACTTAAACTTCATCACTTGAAATAAGGAATAGAAAAAGTTCTTCTTTTAATTGAAGATGTCTTTCCCCTCCTCTTTCAGGATTTTGCCTACCACTTTATAGTGTTTGTCTTCTACTTTGGAGCCTTCTTGCTGGAGGCAGCAGCCACCTCCCTGCATGATCTGCACTGCAACTCAACCATAACCTATGGCGTGCAGCCGCTCCTGAATGATAACCAGTATAACATCAACGTAGCGGCCACAGTAAGTGTTCAATGAGTACAGTCTACCGGCACCAGCCTCCACTATCCAGGTCTCCAAGAAACTCCTCAGGCAACAAAAGTCTCTTTAATAATAGCCGTAAACATTAAACCTATAATAGCTGCTTAGCTGAACAAGGACCCTACAAACAATATACTGCTATCCCCCCAGTGTTGTAGATGATTAAACTGAAGCACACCGAGCTTGACGTTCATGTAGAAGGACAGTGAGTCAGTACTGCTGGACCTTGTACAGCACAGTCTGCTTTGTAGGAAGAATCAATTGTGTTGTCCACTTGTTTTAATTTTCAGACATGATAAGGGAGATTTGTTCCTGGCTTTGCTCTTTAGTATTCTGTAATGTTTTTAATTGAAAATAACTTACCATGGACCTGTCATGTAGCAGGTAATTTGCTAGGGTTGGGGTCAGGATGAATAAGTTGCATTTCCTGCCATTGAAGAGAGTGCAGGTGAGCAGGGAAGGCAAGGAAGCCATTACAGTGGACAATGACCAGGGGAAACGTGTTCTGTAGGGAACTCTTTAAAATTTTTATCCTCTTTAATTCCTAGTATGAATTTGTCATTTTGTGTTCATATAGGGAATTTGAAGAAATGATATGTTTTTGTTTCTATAGATAATTTTTTTAGACTGTCACAAGTGGAAATTATTTCCTGAAATGCCTTGATATTGAACAGATTATATAGCAAATTTAATGACCCTAGTATTTTACTGTTTCACCCAGAAAGCCTGTAAATAACCCCGTACACACCATGTAGTTGTTTTTGCTTGGAATAGCACTTTATGATAGAACTTTCTGGAGTAATAGTAGCTTTTTATATATGTGCTATCCAATATGGTGTCCACTAGCCACATGTAGTTATAGAGCAATTAAATTAGCTAGAAGGACTAACTGAATTTTTAATGTGACTTAATTTTAGTAAATTCAAATTTAAATAGCCACCTATGGCCAGTGGCTGTCCAGGTTGAACAGCACAGATCTAAAGTCTGAGTTTTGAGGGGTAGAGGACAGATGATTTCAAAAACTATGATAATTTTCAAATCTGTTAGGATTTTCAAAAATTCATTAAGTGCCTACAATGAATTACACTAAAAGTGGGATTACAACAGGAAAAGTCATGGTTCTAGATTTGAAAGGGAGACAATTTTGGTGGATGATTTTAATATTTTCTTTTTTAAAAAATAAAAACATTTTACTTAATAAAGTCTTAAAACGTTGAAGGTGGGGGAAGCGGGCCTTGAATGTAACCCCTGCTCTGTTTCCATAAAGTCACCTCTACCCACTTCATCATCCCTGAGGGCAGAATGAAATCTTTGGAGTCCCTGTAATCCAAAGCTCATGGTTGGAAAAACATCAGTTTTTAACAATTTCACAAAGTGAAGTTCAGGGACCAGGAGTTGACATTATTCCTTTCTGTTAGTTCTCAGCTCCACTGGATTTTCCTTACGTGTTTCTTATTTCCAGTCCCTCCCTTTCCATGGTGTCAGCTGGACCTCACTACCTTCTCTAGGATCATTGGGGTAGCCCCATTTTGGTCTGTCGATAGCATCCCTAAGCTCTGACTTTGACATGAATAGTAGGATCTCAAATAGGTGAAGAGGAGCTAATGTCACTAGGGCATACCCTTGCCCTATTGGCGGGCCGTGTTTTCAGAGCTCTCCGAAGTGTAATTCTGCTCTGGCTCGGTCTTTTCTGTTACTTTGCCAGCTTTCCTTCACTTTTCTCTCTGCCTAAGAGAAGCTGCCTTAGTAAACCCAACGCATGCTTCGAGTTCTACCTAAGTCGCATTTCATCCTCACACTCCTAAGTAAATCTCTAGTTCCGGAGTGTGTATAGCACTGACATGTATCAGTCGTTCACTGTGGCATTTTACTGCATGCTTTTCTTTTTCTTTCAGTATATGTACCTAATGATTCCTTTTCGTTAGTAATAGATATTGAAATCAATCGTTCTCATTCAGAGGATTATGTGGAGATTAGAAATTTATGAGAAAAATAACAGAAGGAAGGTGGGAGAATAGTGGAATGGTAGTTGAATTGTGAAAATGTTCTATAGGTGAATCTGCTATTCCTTCCCAGAGCTGTAGTTTCCTGGCTAAGAATCCCAGCACAAAATCATAGCATATGATCATACTGAACTGCTTTGTCCTACAGTTTTCTAGGGATCATAATCCCCAAAAGCTGAAGACAAGATCCACTGTGTGTCTTTATGCCCTGAATGCAGTGAGGTACACGTGGTTGGTGCTGACGAAATCCTCACTGACCCCTAAGGATTCAGAGGAGGTACATCTGGTGCCTGAGGACTGTTTCCCACATAAGATAGCCAGCTCAGTGATCCTGGGTTCTCTTCATTGAGTTGTAAATAGAAAGCATTCGATGTATCCCCAGGTTTTGATACTTAGTGTCTTTGTTGGCTATGAATCACTATATGAATAGATAACTCATATTGAATTTTTTAATACAATGCCTGGGGTTTTATAAATACTTAAGAAGTAACCCCCCCCCCCCAAATATAAGTGAACCCAGTAGTGAGCAAATGTCCAACATAAGGCTGTCTACTCATGAGAAAAGCACTAGGGGCTAGAATGTTTAAAAGAAGGGGTAAGGGTGTTAAGGTTAAAACAATGGCAAGTCACCAAAAAGATTATTATAAACTATTTAATAAATGCTGAAGTATATTCAGGTAAGTCAAGTCAGTCTTCAAGTCATTGCCCCTTAGGAATGCATGTTCTTAAAGTCAGTTATGAACCTGATATTAGTTTTCTTTTCTTTCTCCTTAGGTTTTTGCCTTTATGACAACAGCATGTTATGGTTGCAGTTTGTGTCTGGCTTTACGAAGATGGCGACCGTAACACTCCTTGGAAAGTAATAGTCGTGTGTTAGTTTCATTTGTCTATTTTGTAATATGTCTGATCAATTTGTATGCTGTGTTGTCCAGATGTAACAACATTCCAAATATAATCTGTTTAGTAAATAGAGAGAATCTTAAGCGCAAGTTTTGGTTTATTTCCTGGGTGGAATTTTAATTTTATTATGATATTAAGTGGAGAAATAGCCTTTCATTTTATACCTCTTTACAATTAAAATTCCCATAATGTTCCTAAAATATACAGAGATCAATCATGAAAAAGTAGCATCCCTTTTGTTTGCTCAGTCACCTGAACCTTAATATTAATAGATTTATAATACTCCCTAAAATTTACACATTTCAAAAAGGCTTCCCAAGTGAATTCCATCTTTTAATGTAAAAGAATTGGACACTTTTTCTACAAAGAACTAGATGGTCCATATTTAGGCTTCATGCATCATACAGTCTGTCTCCATCGAGACTATTTAGTTCTGCCTTTGCAGCATGATAGCAGCCATTGTCAGCATGTCAGTGAATGAATGTGGCTGTGTCCCAATAAAGCTTTGTTGACAAAAACAGGGGATAGGCTACATTTGGCCCACAGGCTATGGTTTGTCAACCTCTGGTGAAAAACCTTAGTTATGTGTTCTGTATTTTACTGAATTGATCATGAAGGTTTATAAACCTAGTTAGACAAGCCACATGACATTTAGTCTCATTATGCAATAATCACACTGCCTTTTGTTAATGGTCAAATACTTACCCTTGGAAGGACATGTAGCTTCTCAAGCTAATTCTAACAGAGTCTTGGGTATAGGGAAAAGTAATTTGTGAAGTGAACCTTACTTGCTTAATCTAACTAATGATCTCACAGCTGAGCAAGACTCTCTCCCGAGTGTTCTTCAAACAGGATCCCCAGAGACCATTAGTGACAGCTGGAACTGGTATTCACCTACTTATGTCTTACTTTGGTTTATTTATGCTTCAGATCACAGTTGTTTGCCAGGTGCATGAATATAAAAATATTTATATATGTGAAGCTTTTTCAAATAGAGCTTTCTGAAGACTTAACTTTTTACTTCTAATTATTTTGCATTACTTTTTGAATAGAATATTAAATATAGCATAAAGTTGTAGATTTCGTGTTTTGTTAAGAGCCCAGATATCTGTGTTGTTTTTGCATTGGTGACAGACAAAATCAGTTGAAAACAATAGCACAAAAAATGAAAAAAATTGATATAAAAAAAATTAATCTTTTACAGTGGTCATGGAAACATACCAAAATGGCTTGAATGGGACTTGGGGTTAGACCATGGCTCCTACCATGCTCTCCGTGCAAAGTATGTCTGTTGCCCTAAGAAGGTCAACTTTGGGAACAGAGGGCTTTGGGATTGCTTTATTGTTTTAGCCCTCTGTATTCTGGCTGAATCGCCCACTAGGAGTGCCATGTACGCATTAGGCAATTGGATTTCATGGAACATGGAACAAACATGAATGAGTAGCATGATCAAGGCCCAGTGATCAAACACTATTTATCTGATACTCCCATAGTAAAAAGAGCCTTGTTAGAGCTTGGTTTGTGATAAAATCATAAAGATAAAAGAGATGTTTCAATATATAGCTTGAGAAAATCAGTCTTATGACTTTATGCTCATATCATTTCTATAATATCTAACTTCCTTGATTTTTCTAGGTCCATACCACACACCTAAACCTGTATTATGAATTATATATTACAAAGTCATAAACGTGCCATAAAGATATATTGTATATTCTCCTTGGAATCATTTGAAGGTAGTCTGCTAGAATTTAGTGGTGAGATTTTATTTTTTTTCCCCTAAGGTATAACAGGCTATGCTTGGTGGCATTAAATTAAATGATTTCATTAAAATGTGTTGGTGGCATTTTTGTAAATGGACTGCTTCTAGATCTTTAAGAACCAAATCTAAAACGCCTAACTGTGAATACTTAGATTTGTAGATTAATCGCATTCTGGATTTGTGAGTTGACTGATAAAGCACTTGAACAAAAATTATGGCATTTAAGAATTTCTTTACATAGCTGTAAAAATGAGAAAGTGTTGGTTGGTCTTAAAATCTGGTAACTCCACTATGAAAAGAAATTTATTTTATAAGTGTTATGACTCTAATAAAGTATTCATTTGATAATCTCTTTGGTCATCTATTTCTTATACTATTCACTTTGAAATTCACTTAAAGGTTTGATATAAACTTGATAGAACTTCTAGACTCATAAGAGTTCTATTTTAAACATTGTATGTAAAAGAACCTTTAAAAAAGTGAGTAAATCTTTTTTCCTTGATGAGGCAAGTCTTTGGAAGTAATAGTGAAAAGGAAATTCAAATGAAAATTCTACTCCATTTTATTCAAAGAACATTTATACAGTGCACTATATGTACCATGCAGTTACTAAGCATTTTTTGGTTTTTTTTAATATTAGCTTTAATCCTCATCATAACCTGAAGGTTATCTTGTTCAAAAGACTAGGGTACTAAAACACACTGTAAGAAAGATTAAGGATCACATACCTACCAAGTGAGAAAATGAGATTTAAACCCCAACAGTCTGGCTTCAAAGTTGAAGCTCTTAATTTCTATTTGTGCCTCAGTTCTCCCAGAGTTTACATTCAAACATGACCCTCTTTTCCCAAAAGAAATTTTTAGCAGAATGTTTAACATAATTGTTTGTAGTGGATGTCATCTTTTAGAACATCATTGTCATGATCAAAGCTCATGATTTCAGTTACAGGAACTTGGGCCAGACCTGCACCATGGGGAAAATGTTAGCTCTATTCTGCAAAGGCTCCTGAGTGCATGGCTGCCTGTTCCTATTGTCTTAACACCAGCATGGACCATGGGTTTCAATAGCTTCATTACCCTGGCTTTCTAATCATTCCTGGAACTAATTTCAGAAGGAATCTCTCTAGTCAGGTACACATGGACTTTATACATGGATAGTGAATTTTCATCTCTACACAGTCTAGAATATGGAATTTTAGTCATTATCATGAAAGTTTTGTCTTTAAAATGCCATGCTTCTAGTTTGTTTCTCAGTGAACCAGTGTTTTGGGTGACAACATAATGTGTTCATGGAGGAAGAGATCATCTTGGGGAGGAGATCATCTTAAGTATATATGTATTTTTTTTATGTTTTGAGAATTCAGCTTTGCAAAAGCAGCATGTTGCTTAGACTTTTATTAGGCTGTGCCCTAGCAAAATGTCAACACTATTTCATGTGTCTGGATGACAATTCTGGAATGCTGGCTTCCTCACTCTCCCTGGGTCACTGTTCATTATCACTGCAGTGAGACCTACCTTGCATCTCACACTAGCACCCCCTGTTCTCCTTTTCTTCATTTTCCTCCAAAGTGCTTATGACATGATCGCATTTTTTTAAATATCAGCTTTAATCCTCATAAATGTAGATAGGTGTAGCATAATTTATATATTTAGATTCTACCCTTCTCCACCAGATTGTAAGGCTTGTGGAGAGGAATCATCTGCTCCATTGATGGCTATATCCCCTGGGCCTGGAATAGAACAGAGAAAATAGCATGCTCTCAGAAAATACATATTAAATTAGCAAATGAATGAATGCTAACCACCACACCTCACTTTTGAGTTTCAGCCAATATATTCTGTAAAAATTGATCTTGTTAGCACTTGAAAATGTGTAGTACATAATGGCTAGGCATTTGTAGCCTAGGTCATGATATATTTAGGCTGAATTCTTCCAGGGTCTTTGGTAATTAAATATATATGAGTTGTAAATATGCCATATAATCAGTTCTCTGTATCAGAGGACTTGTGCATATAAAACTTTAACATCCTATCTAAACTTATTAGATATTTATTCCCATTTTTTATCATGACTAAAGAAGTCACTGTAGCCTCAACTGACTGAAGAAATAATTATCAGAACTAAGAACTGATTGATAAAGGGGTCTCTTTTATATAATTGTAATGGGAATAGACTATGGCTAATGGTTTAGATGAGAAGCATTCTTCTACACCGGGAATGGGAAGAAGATATCTGCATGTGTAACATGACATTTTATTGTTTTAGCCTCCCAACTCTGAGCTGTACCCTTGGATATATGTAAGGTCAACCCTATGATGCATGTTATTATAGACCTCCCATACGTAGGTTTGATTTGTTCTAAGTGTGTCAGGTGGCCTGGGCCAGTATATAGTTTTGCTGAAGCAATGACACATCACTGAGATGAAATTTTCATGTTGTACATGTCGACATCTAAATATACCATCTTACTGAATATACCCGAACTTTTGTATCAGAATCTTTTTGAATATGAATAATCTTATTTATGTCTTTTTGAATATGAATAATCTTATTTATGTACATAGTGTCTAAGAATATCATTTGTTACTTTTATAGTTGGTCTATTGTCTTAATATTTAAGCATGAATTTCCTATTCATGTGAACTATATGAGCTAGTGTCCACTCATTTTAACTCTAGTAAAACATTTTCATTTGTAGATCACAAATATAGTTAAAAATTTTCTTTTGTCATCTTGTAATGAATCATCTTGTACATTTCTGAAAGTAAACATACTCCCATTTTGGAGGCCAGGGAAATGGAGCATTGACTAGGAGGTCATAAAAATGAATCTATCTCCTTTGCTGGTTTGATGGAAGTGTTAAATGAGATAATAAAGTGAAGTATCTAACAGAGGACTGGGAGCTATAAGTGCTGACTTCTTTAAATACCTGTTTTATGGTTTCCCAGGAAGTTGACAGATACTCCATTTCTTTAGAGTGATAAAGTTGCGTCAGTCTCCCAAATTAACTGTTTGACAAATGTACTCATTTAGAACAAATTCTGAACAAATAAATATGTTCTTTCCCAAACTGACATGAATAAGTTGCCCAGTTTTGTATTATTAGTGTTTTTTTTTAAGAGAGAGAATTTTTAATATTTATTTTTTAGTTTTCGGCGGACACAACATCTTTGTTTGTATGTGG